AAAAAAAAAAAAAAAAAAATCATCTCTTAAGGGGTGACAGGACGGGGAAATGATAATACCATTCACCCTTGGAAATCACAAGGGTGAAACCAGAGGGTAAAGATGAGTAATATTTCAGATATGCTGCATTTGCAAAGATGAAAAGAAATTCACGTAGAAATTCTAATATGCAGATAAGATAGATTTCAGAAACTCAGGAAAGAATAAGGATTGAAATTACAGATTTTGAAATTATCTCACATAAAATGAATAGTGGAAACAAAAAAAACTATTAAGCTCTCCAAGGGAGGAAAAAAAAAAAAAAGGACCAATCCTTGGGGACCAGCAACAATTAAAAGGTAGAGGAGAGGCAGGAGCAGAAGCAGGACAGGGTAGTCTCCCAGAGTTCAACAAATGAGAGTTTCCAGAAGAGAGCAGGCTGCCTTCTCTTTTCACTCTGTACTCTCCTGGAAGATCTCATTCTCACCTACTCCTTAAACTACCATCCACACACATGCAAGTAAAAGATGAGAGGTCTACAGTTGAAGGAGTTTGAAAATGTCAACAAAGGGGTGAGGTAAGCAAAGATATCATAAAGGAGTGATTAACTTAAACATGAGGATATAACCAGTTGAAAGCAATATTCGAATGCATAAAGATGCTGATGCGTTAATTAAACTAGCTAGGCCGAATCAGGGAAAGCATCTGGGAAAGGATGCATTACTACCGAAAGGTAAGGAAACCATGTTAAACTATGTCACTTAGACACAATCAGCAAAATTCAGATTATGGGAAACTTCACAGAACAACCTGGTTCCTTCAACAGGTTGTTGAACAACCTGGTTCCTTCAACAAGCAAATCGCAAGGGAAAAATATGGAGGTGGAACTTGTAGAATAAGAGAAGCTTGAAAGACGTGTCAACCAATCACAACGTGTGAAGTGGACTGGGTCCTGGGTTAAACAAGCACAGTAGAGAGAAAAAAAAAAATTACGAGGCAAGCAGAAAATTAAACTGGATATTTGATGATATTAAGGAAATGTATTAAATATTTTAGCTGTAATAATAATATTGTGGTTACGCTTTTTAAAAGTCCTTTATGTTTTTAGAAATCATACTGATATATTTATAGCTTTCAGATGCCTGCTATTTGCTTCAAAGAAACGCAAGAGGAGTTATGTAGATAGTGATATGGGAGCAGCGAGATTGGCCAGGAGTTAATAATTGTTGGGGCTGGCATTGAGTTCACGGAGCTTCATTTTTTCCATATGTTTGAAATTTTCCTTAATATATATTTTTTAAAAGATGCAGTTTGGTTTGCAGGAATAGGATTTTCTTCCATATACTGTAGTTTAAATGGCCCTGGTTAAGTTTTCTTGACCTGAGTTCAGTGGATTTCAAGGAACCACGAGGATTATCAAATCAGATCTAGATAAAGCTGGAGGATGAAGTGGTCCACCAAAAAACTTGGATTGAGTTGAACACAAGATATCACTTGAAAGATGACGGAAGATAGATCCTTCAAGTTATTGATTAAAGGGTTTCAAAGATAAAATTTTAACATAAAGGAGAACAAGAAACTAATGGGGGTGTGAGTGTAAGGAGTTTGCTGAATGAGCAAAGCAGCAGGTAAGAAAAATGACTCTCTGTCCGCTCTTGTTTCTAAGACAAATTCAATGCCACTGAAAAAGACATGCAGCTATGAAATGACGAAACCTAAACGTGGGATATTTGTTCATGAGAAAAGAATGTGTGCACTAAAGTCGTGTTAAGACACTGGAGATCTAGGGGTCGGGTCATTCAAACCTTCACAAACTACTTCTGTCTTCTTCTCCTTTGTTTATTCCTTCTTCTTTCCCCCAACAAATCCAAAGTGCCTTAGAGGTAGTGCAAAGGCCCTAGGACAAAGGGGTAAGAGTAAGAGGTAATATGAAGTTTGGAGGAAAAGATTACGGATTATTTTCTCCCTCTCACTGAATCCAATAGTGTAAATTAAATTTGTCACCTTCCTATTTGTTGTGAGGTGGGGTACGGAACGCTCAGGACGAGGGGGACAAGTTGCTTTAGTTAGTTTGCAGGGCAGTGATGAGGACACTGCGCTGTTAAGACAAAACAAATTTAAGGGTAAGATTATGCGAAGGGAGCAGACGGGAGCATTCCAGAGGAAAACCACAAGCGAGGCCTCGTTCACCCAAGGAAGTTGGAGTGGTGGGAGCAGTTTGACAGTCACTTTGGCAAGGGTTGGAGACACAGCAACGGGTCAAATCAGAGAGCCTCGGAAACCACGGGAAGGACCCTGCGGATGCGCGTCCGGTCTTTATACGGAACCTGCGCGTATCAGACTCCAGGGCAACCGTCAGGAGGAAAGAGGCGGGACCGGGGGAAGTGGCTCCAACCCGGCTCTGAGAGCCGCCCTCCCCGATGTCTCCCAGCCCCACAGCCGCCGGAGCAGGGAAGGGAAGATTCCCCTGAGGTGAACGGAACGTTTAGAACACCTCTCCCGAAATCCAGCTACCTCGCTGTTAACCGAGGCTTGAGAGTCCTCTCCTCCCCTTCGGGGACACCTAAAAGCGACGCCGCCGCGGTACCGGGTTACGCGCTGGAGCTCGGCGGGTGGCGGCCCCGGCGAATCCAAGCCCGGAGTCCCAGGCCTCCTCCCGCCCATGGGGGAGGGCCAAAAGAAAATAGGCACCAATCGGGATGTACACTTGGAAGACGTTTACCCTCTGAGCCAATAGTAAGGAGGAGGGCGGGGCCGAGGGGGCCGTACGCTCTTCGGGTTTAAATCTGGGCGGCCGGGCGGTTAACGCCAGCCTGGGCGCGTTTGCGGGTCGTGCGCCTGCGCGAGCTGTGGGACGCTAACCGAAACCTGCGGTACTAAGCTAGCGGGGCGGCGGGACTCGGTGCGGCCGATGGACGTCCGCTGGACCGGTAAGCGGGCAAAAGCTGAGAGAGATGGTGCACTGGCTCCCTAGGGCCGCCCGCCCGCCCACAGCTGTGGAGAGGTCAGGTTCTGCGTAGCGCGGCATTGGAGTTTCCCTCCCCTGGGTGCCGGTTTCCCCAGGGCGCCGTACGGAGCCTTGACGCTCCCGCCGAGCCCAGGTGTGCGGCCTGCGGAGGCACGTGTGAGCGGCGCCGTGCGTGCCTCCAGCGCGTTCGACCCCTCAAGGTCATGATGTGCACCAGCTGCCGGTCCACTGCCAGCCCGGCGCCCGCAGCGGCGAGCACCCTTGTGGTCGCCGCTCTGCGAGGTGGACGGGGCCGAGGGGCCTGTGGGCGGCGGGACCGGTGCCTGCGGGCAGCCGGCTTCCCCGGAGGCCGTGAGCGTCTGAGACGATAACCACGCCCCGGGCCAGCTGGTGCAGTCTCTGGTCTTTGTTGTCGTCGTGAAGGGAGAAAAGTCTTCTCCCCCTCTGGTTTCACCTTTTGTGAACTTCCGGATGTCACAGTGCGAGAAGCGCTTTCCCTAATGAGTTAGGATAGCGTGTAAAATTGAAGAATCCTATAGTCCTGCCCCAGAATGAAGAAAGAAAAACAACCTTTTTTTTTCTGCTTATAAAAAGTATACAATCTCAGTATTTGTAGAAATAAATCCAAGCACTGTTAAGTACATATTTAAAAAGGAAGAAAATACTCGAGATTCCATCAGCCACAGATCAAAAAAAAAAAATCAGTGTTGATATTTGGGTTTACTTAAGATGTATTCATTATGAGTATATATTTACGTGATTGGTAAATGTATTTGTTTTATATAATTGTGTATTTTGAATATAACAAAGTATATTCATTTAAAAAGCAGATTATGCCTTATTTAGTCCCTAATAGTTTAGGAATAAGTGTTTTGATCCATGCCAAATGTAGATATGCATTATCATTTTAAAAAAATCTTTATTTGGCTGCACCTGGTCTTAGTTGTGGCACGCGGGATCTTCATTGTGGCATGCGAACTCTTAGTAGCGTCCTCTGGGATCTAGTTACCCGACCAGGGCTGGAACCCAGGCCCCCTGCATTGGGTGCGCAGTCTTAGCCACTGAACCACCAGGGAAGTCCCTGCATTATCATTTTTAATGGGTGCATGGTATTTCTTGCTATGGCTCTACTATACCACGTATTATTTAACCTATCCCCTAATGATGGACATTAGTTTTTCCAATTTCTTCATCAACAGAAAATAGCATGGTAGTGGTTACTTGTACATGTACATGTTTGCGTTCTTGTCCAGTTTATCTCCTTAGAATAATTTCTTGGAAACGTTTTGTGGCTTAGAAATTATGGTACATTTTAAATTCTGATTCATAATGCCAAAGTGCCCTCTAGAAAAACTGTCATCTCCCCTCCGCACCCTCCCCCAACACATAGAACACAGTGTAAGAGTACTTATTTCTCCACACTCCAGCCAGCACTGGATACTGAAAAGTCTTACCAATCTAGAAGCATAGCTTAATGTTTTCATTTGCATTATTAATGAGGTGAAACATCTTTTTCTATGTTTATTAGTCATTATTTCTTCAGTAAATCACCTTTTTCCTATTCTGCTGGTGTTTGTACCTTTTAATAGCTTTCTAATAGGAATTTGAATTAGTGATTTTGAACCTGTTACAGTATTTCCACTAGTTTGTTGTCTCTTTGGATTATGGTTGTCTTTTTTAGGGTGTTTTGTTTTCTTTTGTTCTAATACTTTTGTTCTTGAAGCTGCATGCTTTCCTTCCGAGAGGTAGAGAAATTTGTTCTAAATCTGCAATAGCCTCCCAGCAAAGTTTAGAATCTAACTAGTGATCCAGCCCTGCTATTCCAATTTAAAATCCTTCCCCTCCACCCTCAAAATCCATTCACTTGCAACTAGGTAAACATGGGACACTGAATTGCTTAAGATTTTGACCAGAAGGTACTGTTGGGTATCTTGGTCAATATCATCTGTATTTATCTACAAAATACAAGCTGTGCTAGCTTCTATGTGAAAGTTTCCCCCTAAGTAAGGAGAAAGGATTATCAGGTCTTTATATTAAAAAGAGAAAAAACTGACAGCTACTTGTGGACCTTATTAAATTTTATATTTTATTATTTGCAAGCACCTATCTTCTTCATACATTCGAGAAAGAAAAAGTGTGCAATAATTTAACTGCAAAGAGAACATGTTAATCATAGTATAGTATACTACACATGCCATAAAAAAAAAAATCTCTTTGGGCCTTAGTATTGGAATTCTTCCAGCCCATTCCAGCCCAGAGTCCTGTTCCATTTCTGTCCCTACTTTCCTCTGTTCTGTGTTTATCTTTTTAGAAGGTAGTTTTGTATTGCATGAACATTGAAATGAATGGTGTAATACTTCTCACAAAGCACCATTTAATTTATATATATAATATATATACTTATATATTACATGTTATATATATTACATATATAATATATATAAAAACATATATATATATAAAATCTCATTTAAACTTCACAACCTGTTGAAATAATTCCTTCCATTTTTCCAGTGAAGAAAGAAAAAGCTAAGCCCTACTTTACTCCTCATATTCATTTAGTCCCTACCATCGGTCTGACTCTGGAATTTATACAATGTATTATACAATACAGATAAATGAAGTCATTCTTCAAAGTTACATTTTGGGACTTCTGATTTGCTTCATCTATGATGATTGTCCTGAGTTTTTCTGTGGTAACTACCAAAAGTAATGTCATTAGATCCTTATTCTTCTAGATTTGATAATATAACCTAGTTAACCTTGAAAGGATTTAAGATCAAAGACCCTGGACTTCCCTGGTGGCGCAGTGGTTAAGGACATGGGTTCGATCCCTGGTCCAGGAAGATCCCGCATGCCGCGGAGCAGCTAAGCCCGTGTGCCACAGCTACTGAGCCCGCAAGCCACAGCTACTGAGCCCGCGCGCCTAGGGCCCGTGCTCCGCAACAAGAGAAGCCACCACAGTAGGAAGCACACGCACTGCAACGAAGAGTAGCCCCCACTTGCTGCAGCTAGAGAAAGCCTGCATGCAGCAACGAAGACCCGATGCAGCCAAAAATAAAT